TCCCCCCCCGGGGAGTGCCCGTCCCCCCCGGAGGCTTCGGCTTCGGCTACGGCTTGGGAGGCCTGGGCTGCTTCGGGGGCAGAAGAGGCTGCTACCCCTGCTGAGGGCCCTCCACACCACCCCTCACACCAACCACCCACACCCTGGAAGCCACGCCATGGGCTGAGGATGCACCTCCGGGCTCTTGCTGGCACGGGGACCTGCCCTCCACAGCTCCTCCTCTCCAGCCACCCAGCAAGGAAGCAGGCCAGGGGACAGACCGCGCTGCCTGGTGACATGGCCCTTGGACCTCCCCCTCTTCTCCCACTTCCTTCTTTGCATTGATCCTTCTCCTGTGTCCACTCCTCTCCCCTGCAGGCACCTTCTCATAAGGCAAACAGCATTGGGGCCCTCTAGGGGTCTGCTCACTCTTTGGCCTCAATAAAGTTCTCCTGCATCCCAGCCTGTGATTCCTCCTCTTCCTTTCTTCTCCAAAGGCTCTTCCAACATCACCCAGCACAAAGCCAGGGGTCTGGAAGCCTTCATGGTGGATGGAAAGGGATTATATGAACTCTCTTACAAAGTATGCCCCCAGCAACAGCAGTAACAACAGAGCAGCACAGGGGGGCTTTCAGAATGTGATAGAAGCCCTTTGGTTCCAAAAATGGCTTGGATATTCTAATGCGCTTTTACCCATGCCTCTGACACAAGCTCCCAATAGCATCACACCGTTGACCAACTTTCTGACGCAGCATGGCTTTCTGGCCACCACAGCAAGCAGAACCACAGCAAACACAACTATGGAGTGCGCAAGCAAACTCTTGAGATCACCTAGTTCACCCCAAGCTGCTCAAACAGGGTCAGCTCAAGCAGGCTGTCGAGGACCATGTCCAGTCAGATGTTCAGAATCTCCAGGGATGGAGAAGCCAACACATTTCTGCACAACTGATTCTAGTGTTTGACCATGCTCACACTGAAAAAACATTGCTTTCTCTTCCAAGGAAATGGCATGTCTTTTCCACCTTCTCCATTCACCCTTGCCCTGGCCATGGGCACCGATGAGAATATCCCCCCGCCCTCCTGTCCTCATTCCCTCCTATCTGAGACTAGACATATGGATTACATCTTGTCTGTGTGTGCTTGCCTCATGGCTGAGAACACTCCCAGCTCTCTCAGCTTCTCCTCAAAGGGAGGATGCTCCAATCCCCTCAGCGCCTTTGTTGCCCGAACTCACTCCAAGGCCATATCCTTCTTTCACTCGGGAGCCCTCAGCTGGGCACAGGACTCCACATGGGGCCTCACCAGTGCTGAAGGGAGTGCCAGATCACCTCCCCTAACCTGCTGGCAATCATTTTCCTAATGCTACCCTGGAGACTTGTGCCCCTTTTGCCACAAAGGTTCATTGCCACCTCATAATCCACTTGCTCTCCACCAGGACCACAAGGTCCTTCGCTGCTAAGTTGCTCTCTATCAAATCAGCCCTCAGCCATTCCTTTTTTTTTCTCCCGAGAAACTGGACTTTGCATGTCCCCTTGCTGAACTCCGTGAGATTCCTCAATATCCAGTGCAAGGAAATCGGGGTGCTCCCTCAGCATTCATGGCTTCAAACCATCTTTCCCCATGGGCTTATGCACATCCAGTTACACACACCACCTTTCGGGGGGGCAGCTGGCACCCCCAGCATAGCCCACATGTGCCTCTTGCCTGCCAGGCTCTCCAGCACCCATCAGCACAGAAGCACAGATACCCTTCCTACCTCACCTCCTCTTCCTCACCAAAAATCATGGCTCGCACAGTGAACAACCCTCTAGACACTCAGCGCCTCTGAATTGGGGCGGGGGCCGGCAGTCTGGGGAGGGCCTCACTGACAGGAAGCTAGCCAGCCATATTCCGATTTATAAAAAGGGCAGAAGGGAAGAGCCAGGAACCGCAGACCTGTTACTCTAACAGCAGTACCTGGAAAAAATTATGGAGAAGATCCTAAGGGTGCTACTGAAAGGAATTTAAAGGACAATGCCATCATTGGGCACAGTCAGCATGGGTTCACTAAGGGAAAGTCCTGCCTGACTAATTTGATATCCTTCTATGATAAGGTCACCCGCCTCATGGATGAAGGGAAGGCCGTGGATGTGGTTTTTCTGGATTTTAGTAAGGTTTTTGACCCTGTCCCTCACAGCATCCTTCCGGACAAGTTGTCCAACTGGGGGATGAGCAGGTACACACTGCACTGGGTGAAGAACTGGCTGAACAGCAGAGCTGAAAGGGTTGTAGTGCATGGGGCTACATCTGGCTGGCCAGCAGTGGTGCTCCTCAGGGTTCAGTCCTAGGGCCCACTCTGTTCAAGACTTTCATCAATGATCTGGATGCAGGAGTTGAATGCACCATTCGGAAATTTACTGATGATACCGAACTGGGAGGTGCTGTTGACTGTCTTGAGGGATGAGAGACCTTGCACAGGGATCTGGACAGACTGAGCATTGGGCATTCATCAATGGCATGAAACCTAAGAAGAACAAATGCTGGATCCTGCACCTAGGACGGAGTAACGGGGAACACAAGTAGAAATTGGGAGAGGAGTGGCTGGAGAGCAGCTCTGCAGAAAGGGATCTGGGGGTGCTGACTCAATAGAGTCAGCAGCGTGCCCTGGCAGCCAAAGGGGCAAACCCCATCCTGGGGTGCATTAAACACAGCATCACCAGCTGGTCATAAGAGGTGATTATCCCACTGTATTCAGCATTGGTGCAGCTTTAAGTACTGCGTGCAGTTCTGGGCCCCACCATTTAAGAAAGTTGTAAATGTCCTTGAATGTTTCCAGAGGAGGGCAACAAAGCTGGTGAAAGGGTTGGAAGGCCTGGCCTGTGAGGAGCAGCTAAGGACTTTGGGCTTGTCTAGTTTGGAGAAAAAGAGGCTGGGGGGGGACCTCAATTGCGCGCTACGGCTTCCTGAGAGGGGACATGGAGAGGGAGGTGCTGAGCTCTTCCCCCTGGGATCCAGGGATAGGACACGTGGGAATGGCTCAAAGCTGCGCCAGGGAAGGTTTAGACTGGACATTAGGAAGTATTTCTTCACCAAGAAGGTGGTCAAACACTGGAACAGGCTTCCTAGAGAGGTGGCCAATGCTCCAAGCCTGTTGGTTGAGCCATCTGGACAAAGCTCTTAACAACATGCATTAACTTTTGGTCAGCCCTGAAGTGGTCAGGCAGTTGGGCTAGATGATCGTTGTACGTCCCTTCCAACGGCACCGTTTTAGTCTCGTCTAGTCTATTCCACTTCACCAGCCCTTCGTCATGCAAACATCACCTCCAGGTTCTCAGGTGCACAGCCCAGCACATGCACCTCCCATTTCCCCCTCCACAGAATCCCAGATTGGCCAGGATTGGAAGGGCCCTCCAGAGATCACCCAGTCCAACCCCCCTGCTCAAGCAGGCTCACCCAGAGCAGAGTGCACAGGACAGCGTCCAGGCGGGGTTTGAATATCTCCAGAGAAGGAGACTCCACAGCCCCCCTGGGCAGCCTGGTCCCGGGTTCTGTCACCCTCAAAGTCAAGAAGTTCTTCCTCCACTGCGTCCAACCCCCGTCTGGCCCCACTAACACTGCACAGGGAAATGGCCTTGTCCCTTGGCACTCACCGCAAAGGCAGACCCCAAAGGCAGTCACTCATCAGCTTCCCCTCCTTGCTGGTCCCACTCCACCTTGGGCCTCTCATGGGCCTCACCAGCTCACCCAGTGCTCCCCCAACTCAGCCCAGTGGCCGCAGCTGCAATAAATCAATAAACTTCACCAAACAGCCCCCAAAACAACTGCCGGAAGGGGTGGGGGGGGTGAATGAGGAAGGGAAGGAGTAGAAATGCGTCCGAAAACCAAACCGAACACCTCACACAAAAGCAGTTAGGGGACTCGGAGGGGTAAGAGGGAGGGAAAATGCCCCGATTAAATAACACCACCACCCCTCAAAAAAACCCCCCCTGATCAATAAATACGTCAACAGACCCTGCACCCATGCTGCAGGGTGCCAGAGACACCCATGCAGGGTCCCCTGTCATGGTCCTTCCTTGCTGTGGTCTCCAGCCCAACCGCCTGTCAGTCCCCATGACACCATCTTCCCCAAAAGCGGGGTCCCGGGGCCACCCACACAGGGTACCATGTCCCCAACCCCCCTCCTTGCTGCGAGGACCCTGGGCAACCCATGCAAGGTGCCCAGGTCACCACTCACCTTGCTGTGGGGTCCTCAGCTGACCCAAGTGTGGGTCCCTGTTGCACCATCCGCCTGGCTGCACGGTCCCCATCCCACCTAAGGGGGAGTCCCCAGGCCACCGTCTCGCCTTGCTATGGGGTCCTCAACTGATTCCTTGTGGGGGATCCCCAGGTCACCATCCCCTCTTCACTGCAGGGTCCCATGGTGCAGGGGGTCTCCAGGCCACCATCCTCCCTGTTGCAGGATTGCTGGACCACCTGTACGGGGGACGCCAAGCCACCACCCCTCCACTCTGAGGTCACACAGAAAGCCCCCTTTGTGAGGTCACCATCCTCCCCACCACGGGGTCCCTGAGGCACAGCATAGGGCGCTAAGGACCGGGTACAGGAACAAGCCCGTGGCCCTGCTCTGCTGTGAAGATGGGGCTTTTGTGGGGCTGCACGGCCAAGGAGCCGGTGGGGTGAGCACGTTCCCTTATGCCACCCTCCCACCTCTGTGCCTCCCAACTCAGGCACTCAAACCCAGATTTTTGGGTAGCAAAAATCTTCAGCCCCCCCCCAATTCCTTATCGCCAATGCTGCTCACTCTTTCTTCTCCTTCGTTGTTTTTATTTTTCACTCTCTGTAAGAGAAAAAAAATAAAAGGCTCCTGCAAAACAGGTGAACCCTGAGCTGAGACAGGAGCTCGCAGTCTCCAGGGCTGTTGGCAGCACTGAAATATTCATCAAAGGCAAATTAAGAGAATAACTCCAGAGCAGCTGGAGTCCAGAGCGCCGGAGAGCTCTGCGCACAGCTGGAGTCGGCGTCATTTCAAAGATGAAGCTTCTGCTTAGGAACAAAGCCCTTCTCTCATTCAAACCCAAACGTCACCTGCCTCGGAGCTGGGCAAGGAGAAGGGGAATGGGTTTGGATCCGTTTGGCCTTTTTATCCCGTGTTTTAGCGTAAATAGCGCATTTCCCTTGCAGACGTGCTTCGTTGGCCTCGAGGGGCTTACTTCAGCTCGGCTTAATGTCTGATCAATAGAAGACAAACCCAAGTAATGCCTGCTCTTAGGAGCGACAGTTGTTCCCCTTGAAGTTCAGCCAGCTTGACATCAACCCTTGGACTGAAATGGATGCAGGATCTCGCCTCCCCACGGCCCTGCGACGTGCCTGAGCAGCTAGGCCCGGAGGGATGTCTGTCTCATGCTTCAGAGCAGGTCTCAGCCCAAACTTGCTCCAGAGCCGCTCGTTTTGGGCACAGTCAGCTCAGACGGGTTCAAGGGAGCGTTGGGAGGAGGCTCATAGCCACGTTGCCCTCTGCCCAGAGGACGGATGGACCAGCACACGCCTCTCTTCTATCCACCCTGGAGAAGCCAGCATGGCTCCCAATCCCATGAACCAGGAGTCTGCAAAGAGTCCGATTCATTCCTGTCCCACCCCAAGCCAGAAATTTTCCATTCAAGCTGCCCCTGGTTCATATTTCATACGCTAAGAAACCTCCCATAATTAGCAAGAGCACGGGGGTCTAGGAACAGCCATGGCTGTTGCTCCCATTCCCATCCCAGCCTTTCCCTTTCTCTGCGGCTCTGCAAGACTGTCCTGTGCTTTTGGATAACTCTGCCATTGCCAAGGGGCTGCATGCTGGTGGGGAGCAACCCCCAGCCCCTCTGGAAACAGGTGGGACAAAATGGACTTCAGCCAGCTGAAATCACGCACGGAGGGAGGCACGGGCTGTACTGCAGGACGTGACCCGGAAAGGGGCTCACTGCTGGCATGTGTCTACCTAAAAGCATAAAAAAAGAGCCACAAAACTGAAATCCGAGTGGGAGAGGGATGCTTAGAGCTGGCGTGTCTCACCTGGGCTCCTGGAGCGTGGCTGCAGCCATGCAGCGTCATCGTGAGCCGGCTTCCACGCTGGGATGGGTTGCATCTGGGCAGCTCGTACCCGTCTGCCCCACTTTCCTGGGAGGAACAGGGAGGGCAGAGCAGGAATCGGGGCTGAAGCTGAAACTGGACCAGTTTGAAAGAGAGAGTTCACTCACAAGGAAGCTTCATTACGGAAACAACGCGTCCGATGAAGCAGCAATTCTCCGATGGCGATGGGATCTGACCAAGCCACCCAAGCTTTATCCTGCCTGCTGCAAGGTCCTGGGCTGTCCTCTGGTTCACGTCACGCAGAAGACCTGCCCAGTTGACCTAATGGGTCTCCTCCAGGCTTTCATCCTTAACTCAGAAGATCTTCCTAGATAATATCAAAAGCCCGGGTGATATTTTCATTAACAAGAGAGTCCTGCTCCATCCCGTGCGGTCACCGCAAGCTTACACCTCTCCCCTGTGATCTTCCCTCATGCCCTAACATTGCTTTGGTAATTAGCTCCAGAATTACCATATTTAAATCCAGCCCCATGGTTATTCAGCTGCTGCTGAAGCAGCTCCAGCTGCGCCACCTCCCAGCAATTCCTCGGCCGAAACGGGGGGTTCACTCCTAATTAGTCTCCGAAGTTCGCAGGATGCAGCAGGAAGCTCTTATCCTCCCACCCACACCTGGAAAACCTTCCTTGGCCTTTTGCATTTCCCTAGCTTGTCTAATGGATGCCCCGTTGCTGGAAGTGTTCAAGGTGAGGTTGGACGGGGCTTTGAGCAACCTGATCTAGTGAAAGATGTCCCTGCCCGTGGTGGGAAGAGGGGTGGACTGGATGATCTTTAAGGATCCCTTTTACCCCAAACCCTTCTGGTCTATAATTTTACCATGTGGCAAGCTGGAAGCGTGGATGCAGCTGGATGTGGGGTGGTCACGATTCATCCCCCTGCCTTGAGCCGGTGGAGCGGGACATGCGGGAAACAGCAAGGTGAGGTTTCTTCTTGCCAAACCTCGGCGTCTCATGGAGGATGGAAGAGGTGATGCTGTTCGCAGGGCAGACATGGGATTAGCCGGCACTGAGAAGGAGCTTTGGCGCCTCATCCCCGGCTCCACAGGAGAGAGGTAGGAGGAGGGAAAATAGCACCAGTCGCTCCTGGGAGCGGGATTTTGGAGTTGGGAAAGCCCTGGGAGGGCTGGGGACATGCTGGGACTCACTGTCTAGGAGAGGAGCCGGACACTTCCATGGAACAGGGCTGGTCACACGAGGACAAGGTGACATTTTTTGATCTGCAGGGGAAAAAAATGACACACACACACACACACACCCCAGGAAGGGAGTCCCCAAGGATTCAGCTTTTCCTGAGGCTTTCGCAAAGGAAAAGGGTGCGATCCTCTTCCAGGTCTCACCTAAGAGATAGGAGGGAGTGAGAAAGCCACCATATCCTCCTACTCCTCGGCATGGGGGCCGTCTCTCTTCTGGGGGAAAAGTGGGAATTCCTGGGGGTCTCCCTTAATCCCCTTCTTCCCCATTTTAATTTGGACCAGTGCAAGGCTCTGCCTTTGCTTCGCAGAAATCCCAAAGGAAAAACCAACTGGGGGGGAGGGGAGGGGGGCGGGGGATGGTCTTTTTCCACCCACCGGCAAGCCCTGTTCATTTTTAATCTCAGTTTAAGTGCATTAAAGATGATTAAGCCTCTTCTCATCGAAATCCCTTTTTGACGAGTCCTTTGTGTTGGGGCGGAGGGGAGGGAACCCGCGCACCCCCTTCCCCTGCACCGCTGCCTGCTGTCTGCAGGCGTGCAAGAGCCTGGGCTTGCACCAGCACCCCCCCCCGCCCCGCCATGCAAGTGATGGGGGGTGGTACCGGTGTCCCCCGGTGCTGTGGGGGGTCCCGGGGTCGGTGACTCCGGTCGCGGACTCCATTTCCCGAGGAG